AAGTTACGTCTAAAATCTCGAAAATAAATGATGGGAAAAAAATTCTACCTACGCCACTGAATTCTTCGTAAAAAGTTGCCCATATAATGTTTTATTTATAATACTCCATCTTTGATAATAAGTGAGATATTCGCGATTGTCGTTTTCGCAAAATTTTCAGTTTTTGCCGATAGGGCGAAAACAAAAGACGATAGCTGTTCGGAGTTTTCGGCATTAGCATTTTCTCGAAAAACGAGATCATGACATGTAAGCTACTTTTTTTCTATCTCTTTTAGTTTCGGAGATAGCCTATGCGGACATCGAAATTGGGACACCCTGTACATCTAACAAAATACTATTTGGACAGTGTTAAAAATTGTGAATTGGAGGATTTTAGAAATAACCTAATGATATAGTCGCAACATAATATCCATAACAAGGTAATATCTCTTATTTAAGTACTTGTTTGATGCAGGGCAATTCTGCCATAGTATTACAGATTAAATCTGGTTTATCCAAGACTTGGGTCAAAAACAGTTATTTCAGGTGTATTTGATTACTTCCCAGTCTTTTTTTCCTATTTGTAATTATTATTCTATTTCTTTATTTTATTACCAGTTTTATTCCAGACATCCTCTCTTGATGTGGATATCAATGACAGCTTGGATTAAGCGGCAGCAATGAAAACCTCGACACTTTAGAGACTTGGTATGCTTTTCTATTGAGACTTCTGGTAAGTTCTTTGTTTCTGATTACATCATATTGAGTATCTAATACCATCTTATCCACACATTAATAAAGCATCCATCATCACGGACACATTTTATGAAGAGTGGAATATACTTACTGGAGATTTTGAATTGTTTCTGGGCTCACCTAGTCATTGCATGAAAAAGCTTAGTCTTGAGGAGATGATGGGAATTTCTGCATACATAGACTTGGATTTTGTTCTCAACCCAAGTCTTCAACCTTCTCATTAATTTAGTACTGACTCAAAAATCATTTAATCCTGACGTAAGAGTTCTTTTTACACCATTATTATGGACGAAGTATTTCCCAAGGTCAACTTCTGTAAATATTGGGGTTTCTATCAATAACGAGGTGATTATATATACATGTTTAGTTTATGGGGTAAAGGGGACTATTTTTTGGGGTCATTCATTTATCACTTCCGGCAATGCCGGAAATAGATACCAAATTCAATATTTTTTATTTTAGGAGTACCATTCTACAGGATTTCCACCGATACGATTATCGTATCCCTTGTAACCCTATAATTAGAGACAAGTATCAAGTTTTAGTGAGCGTTTAAGCGGCTTCTGTCATAGGGGGGCAATAAAACGCGAGTTACACGGTTGTAAATCGCACGAATGCCCCACAAACTCTTTATACGCTAGTTCGTATTCCAATCAATTAGTATAATTTATTTATTCAATAAAATCAAAAATTTTTAAACGTTATGCTATGTATGTATATAATAATTAATCTTTATTTTGTAGGGGTTGATTTCAAAAATGAATTTGAAGAAACAAATTGGATGAAGCAAATTTGAAAAAAGGAGTTTAATAATAATCTCTATATTATATCAGCGCAGGCTCTATGTCCCTAACGAAAACTGGGTAGGCGTGACAAAATGAACCAGTAGGGTTCCGTACCACCTGAAAGAAGGGTGGGTGCCCCGACGCGTTTTATTACGTCATGAAATCGTGTTGGTGAGGTTAAGTTAAGCGCGGCAAATTCGAATTAATCCGATAATGGTGTTATATAAAATTTATAACAAACAATTTTTTATTAATGATTATTTTAACAACAACTTGATCATTAAATAAATTTTTTTCGGTGGAAATTGTAGGATGGAGTATATCAATCGGTCATGACGGAACGAAAATATACACCGCAGGAAACAATTCAGGTAAGAAGCTGTCGGTGCGTTTGTGTGTATGGGTATATTTAGTAGGGACGGCCGCGTGATAAATTTGAAACGCTGGTTACGCGGGCGAGTTTATTAATAACCGGTCTTCAAAGAACTAAAACGCACGATGCCGACCCCCGGGTTCGAAGACTTTCTTGCGGTTTTCTTGCATCTTCTCCACGAGATACCGTATGGATTTACCATTAAAGCCCTTTTCGCTGCGCACGCGTCAGTTACACGTGTACGGAATATAAATTTCTACTTTTCAATTTATAGAAAATGAAAGTTATTCATATATATACATAGGTATATTTTAAATCATATACAAAAAGATCGATTTAAAAAATTACGATCAAAATTCACCCACTTTAATTTACAAAAGGATAACATCGGGATAGGAGTGCGTGTTATTAAGGGGTCGAGGCGGCGAATTGCTATATTAAAATCAGTGATTTGTGGCCTACACCCCCCATAGACTATGACCCTTTTCTAATTTTGACGATCCCTTTAGATATGTCTGCATAACACCCTTCGATTATAATCTTACAATTTTTATACAATGTTGCATAATCCATTTTAGTTGTTTTGTATTTATTCATTTTTAGGTTGAACTACAATTAGTAATGATGAGTAGTATGACTAACACTAAATTTCCAAGTAAAGTAAAATATTGACATAACGGACAAAATATTTTTAAGGCTTACCATTAATATTAAAAGGTATGAAGTCAATTTTCTCATCCATTCTACCGGTATATTAATACGTTTCATTTAGACGTAGATAGGATTAAAAAAAAAATAGGGTTTGATGATATATTTTTGGAGGAAAAGATTCAAAGGAAAAATATAAAAAATCGTCTTAAATTTAATTTTATGAATAAAGATACCTAATATATCTCAAATTGAAGCCGAAAGATTGTAGTTTAAGATGTAATTCAAATAATATAGGGTTTGATGATAAAATTTTGGAGAAAAAATTTTTTTAATAAAAAAATGCTATAATTGGGATTTAGCAATGACATAAGAATTTCAAAAAATCATGCCGCATTTAATTTTTTTTGTAATGATACGTAATATATCTCAAATTAAAGCTAAAAGAGTATATTTTAAGATAGGATTAAAAAAATATAGGATTTGATGATATATATTTGGAGGAAAATATTCCCGAAGAAATTATTTCAAAATTGGGCTATCTTGAAATTTAATAAAAATATAAAAAATCGCCTTAAATTCAGTTTTATGAATAAAGATACCTAATATATCTCAAATTGAAGCTGAAAGATTGTAGTTTAAGATATAATTAAAATAATATAGGGTTTGATGATATAATTTTGGAGAAAAAAATTTTTTAATAAAAAATGTTATAATTGGGATTTAGCAATGACATAAGAATTTCAAAAAATCATGCCGCATTTAATTTTTCTTGCAATGATACGTAATATATCTCAAATTAAAGCTAAAAGAGTATATTTTAAGATAGGATTAAAAAAATATAGGATTTGATGATATATTTTTGGAGGAAAATATTCCCGAAGAAATTATTTCAAAATTGGGCTATGTTGAAATTTAATAAAAATATAAAAAATCGCCTTAAATTCAGTTTTATGAATAAAGATACCTAATATATCTCAAATTGAAGCCGAAAGATTGTAGTTTAAGATGTAATTAAAATAATATAGGGTTTGATGATATAATTTTGGAGAAAAAAAAAATTTTAATATAAAATGCTATAATTGGGATTTAGCAATGACATAAGAATTTCAAAAAATCATGCCGCATTTAATTTTTTTTGTAATGATACGTAATATATCTCAAATTAAAGCTAAAAGAGTATATTTTAAGATAGGATTAAAAAAATATAGGATTTGATGATATATTTTTGGAGGAAAATATTCCCGAAGAAATTATTTCAAAATTGGGTTATGTTGGAATTTAATAAAAACATAAAAAATCGCCTTAAATTCAGTTTTATGAATAAAGATACCTAATATATCTCAAATTGAAGCCGAAAGAATGTAGTTTAAGATGTAATCAAAAAAATATAGGGTTTGATGATATAGTTTTGGCATTTTTACTTGTTTGTTCTGGTTTTAGTTATTATTCAGCGTAAGATTGTTGTATATTTTTCATTGTATTAAAACTAGAACTAACACTAGACCTAGAACTAGAATCATTCGGGTTTAGCCGTCTTGAGAGACGTGCGGCTAAATCCGAATGTATCTAGTTCTAGGTCTAATGTTAGTTCTAGTGACAGTGGTAGGTACCGCTAGTTAGCATAAGATATCACTATGTTTCATATTTTTATTGAACTAGAACTAACACAAGACCTAGAACTAGAATCATTATCGGGTTTAGCCGTCTTGAAAGACGTGGGGCTAAATCCGAATGTTTCTAGTTCTCGGCCTAGTGTTAGTTCTAGTTTTAATTGGTATTGTTGTATATTTTTATTTCCTCGTATTATTCATTTTGCAGAAAATTCCATTACAAACTTTAACCTATCCCAAAAAATGCCCACCCCTTCAAACAACACTTGACAAAACGTGATTCTTCCTCCCTCTAAATACCAAAGCAGGACGAGCAATTCTCTCCCTCCTCATTCCAATTTTTCCTTCTCCACGTGGACTCGATCTCTCATGTGTGACTCATAGGAGGATTTCCTACGATCGTCACCAATGCCAAAACGTTCTCTCTCGCCGTGTTTGATTAAGGTAATGAACGCCCAGTGGGGTGGAACTTCGCCCCCGGGGTTTCCTCGGCACACGACGCGGGGGTGGCTGCTGGAATAGCCCCTCTCTATCGTCGTGCGCGTTCCACCACTGGAGTGCGATTCCGAAATCCGATACCGTTGACGACGGACGCGCTCGCGTTTGAAATGGTCCTTCTGTTGCGGTGATTTTAAATGTCTTCGTCGCTGGAAGGTTCTTTGGATTGGGATTCCCCCTCGACTAAAACAGGAACGGTTAAACGAAGGCCGGTGTCGAGTTCTTTAGAAGAAAATGGTACTTGTAAAGTTGGATGTAAAACAAGCGGGATACCGTGTTTTGTTGGTTCCGGTGGAAAAATGAAAATGAAAAAAAGGTGGTCGTATTCGGGAGTGAAAGAAAGTAAAGATAAAGTGAATTTAGTTTTAAATTCCAAAGTTTCCGACACGGATTCAGGAATAGCTTCACCTTTATCGCCGTTATCTTCGTCAAATCAAGGATTTTTCGGTTCATCTTTAGGATATTTGAAGGAATTTAAATGTCTCGAGGATTGTAGGTGTTTAAAACAAGATGAGCAGGTGAGAAAATTTTAAATGAATTTGGAAATCGTTGTTAATATCGTAAAAGTTAAAATTTTTAATGGACTCATTTGTCGTCGTTCCAGAAATAACCATGACGAGACAAATCTTGGATTAAATGACTCCACGTTCGGAATAATTCAGCTCTGTTTAAGCGAAACTTACATCCATCATCCCTCTTTAAAAACTCGAGCAGACGATCCGTTTTAATTCACCGAATTAAACTCGAAATAGTCGCCCACTTTTTTAACTTCCCAGACAAAATCATTTCAATAAAAACAGAAATGAGAGTATGTTTATTGGATGAAATGTTCCATTAAGTTTTTTGCTAGATAACAAAATATCATTTCTCTAGAGCCTAGAGCAACCCATGTCATTTTTGGCACTTTGATTTATATTATCTGCAAACATGTCGTTTATCTTCACACCCTAAAAATGTTTTTTCTTTAAATATTTTCTATTTTAACCATTAATTACAATTCAAATTGATGTTGTACTTGAGAAAACCGTGTTTGGGGTTGACTCAACCCCTTCCCATTAAAATAAAGCCCCGATTTCCATCTCAATTTTCATTTTCGAGAGGTTATTCGCTTATTGTTTTCTGTTGGGGTCCGCTTCCGGTCGCTGCGGAATTGATCGATAAATAAGGGCGGCTTTTGCTGGGTGTTTACTTTTACGCGCGGGGTGAAACTTCCACGTGCTTTCTCTCGTTCGCGTTCAGTCCCCGATGGACTGGTAATTAGATAGAAAAAGGGAACCTGAAAGCTGCGGGGCATTAGAACTCGATGGGGTTGCGTTTTACTGCCCCCCTCAAAAAGGTATATTGTTCTTTTGATTGCCATTGACAGGTCTTTTTGTGTACCTTTTTGTTAAAATGTAATTAACTGTTTGAACAGTTTTAATAAATTTTTTTATTGAACAGATTTGTCCGATTCCATAAGGATTCTGGGTAGGATTGTAGACTACAGCAAGAAAGTCTTTATTAAATGTCAGGAATTTCTGACCATTTCTAAAGTGCAGGAAAATATCTGGAATTACCTTAATTGGCGTTCGAAAATAAGTTTGAAATTCTAAGAATCAGATACAATATATTAAAAAAGTTGTATTAATAATAATAATAAGAAAGTCTTAACACAATGACTTCTGCAAGACAATTCGCTGGTCGAGTTCCAAACAACAAGAAAAGGTCTATTGCATTGGCAAAATTTTGAAAGACTTGAAAGAGATTACATTGACAAGACTCTAGACTTTATGAACAAATCAGAAACTGCGCTGATTGAACTCCAAATTGCAAAAAAAGTCTGGAATTACATTGGTGAGTTTCCAAGATTAAAAATCAAGTCTGGAAATAACATGATCAGATAATGATCGAAACTTACAATATTGTCTTTGATTTTGTGTGCATAAGTGAGCATTTTCTCTTTGATTTGGAGTTTCGGCTTGGTGTGTCAGTTGGGGGGTGGATTGCTCTTTCATACTTTGCTAGGACGGATCACATCCATGGTGGAGTGGCGATATTCGCGAAAAGAGACCGGAAATGTAGTTTGTTGGGTGACATAAATGACTTGTCGGTGGAGATGGATTGTGAATTGGCGGCACTGCGTTGCTAGGTCTCTCGTGTTGTGATTGTATGCGTATATAGGTCCCCATCTGGGAATTTTACAACTTTTAAGGACATTATGGAGCGTGTTCTGGGCACTCTTGCGAACCACAAGCATGTTGTGGTCCTGGGTGACTTCAATGTCAGATTTGGTAGCGGAGAGTCAAATGCTATTAAACTGTGTCATATTTTTTCTTCTTTCGGGTTTTCACCATCTATCTCCGGACCCACCAGGGGCAAAAACTGTCTTGACAATATATTTGTTAATTTTGCTGAGGACAGGTTCAAAGCTGGGGTGGTCGTGAATAATATCTCTGATCACCATGGTCAATTTGTCTCTGCTGCAGTATCACTTCCAATTGGAATTGACTACAGTTCTGTAATGTACAGGAGGATTACCGTTGAGGGGAATTTGAGATTCTTTGAATCCTTTCAGGGTTATACTTGGGAATTTCTCTGTGATGACGGTTTCAATTTCAAGGATAGATTTGACTATTTCTTTCATAGATTTCTATCAACTTTTTATATGGCGTATCCTCTAACTAGAAAACGTGTTAGAAATTGTGACGGAGGCGTAAAGTGGTTCAATAATACACTGCGTCAGATGAGACTCAGGTGTGATCTCGCTTCCAATCTTTTCAATCGTTATGGAACTGCTAATCTTAAGGAAATGAGGGATAGAGCAAGGTCGGCGTACCGTAATGGCATCGATGAGGCTAAACGGAAGGCCGCTGTCGGATACATTAACGCATCGAGCAACAAATCGCGGGCCTCTTGGACTTTGATTAATGGGTGCAGGGTCAGTGTGGACAAGCAGAATGTTGCGGATATGGATCCCGATAATCTAAACAGCTTTTTTGTAAATGTCGCTAATAACAATGTTGCTAAATTCGGCCCGTCTATTGGGTCCCCCTTACATCTGTGTTGTAGTAACTTTGACAATGTTCCTGTTTTCTCTTTTGTTGAGGTATCAGAGAGTGAAGTTAGAAGTGTTCTACAGTGCTATAAAGGGCTATAAAATGTAACATTAGCCTCATGGTTGCGCCCCTTACCATAATGGTTAACAGCATGATGCGATCACATACTTTCCTGGATCAATTAAAGATAGCTTCCATTGTGCCTATTTTTAAGCATGGAGATAAAAACGATTGTTCGAATTATCGCCCCATTAGCATTCTCCCGATACTGTCCAAAATATTTGAGCGCGTAATCTACAAACAAATAATGGCTCACGTGGAATTGTATGATGTGCTTTTCGAGAATCAGTTCGGCTTTCGACCTGGTAGGAGCACCGGGGATGCGATTGTTAATTTTATGAATGTCTGTCACAGTACGTATGAAGATCGGGAGTACTGTGCTGCTCTATTTCTTGATTTGTCTCGTGCTTTTGATAGTGTGTCGCACCGTATTCTTCTCCTGAAGCTGAAGTCTGTTTTTCGCTTTGATTTAAATAGTGTTGCTCTTATCGAATCATACCTGTCCGATAGGTTTCAAGTGGTTAAATGTGGAGACAAAGTATCTGGAAAACTTCCAATCTCGAGGGGTGTCCCTCAGGGATCTATTTTGGGGCCCCTTTTGTTCCTCCTGTACTTTAATGATTTTCCTGGTTACCTGGGAGAGGGTGTAAAGTGTTTGTTGTACGCTGATGATGCCACATTGCTTGTCTCCGGGTTAAACTACGAGGAGGTAATGTCTTCCTCAAACAAACTGTTGACTGCTGCGAACGACTGGTGTGTAGCTAATGAACTATGTTTGAATAAAGACAAAACGGTTCAGACACTTTTCACCCTAAAACGGGACTGTGTGGGTGATTTCCCCCCTGCTAGATTGCTGGGCATAACGGTGAGCTCCAGAGATCTGAAATTTGATGTGCATGTGGCTGAAATTGGTAAAAAGATCTCAAGAAACATTTTTCTACTACGTAGACTAGTGAGCTCGGTATCTGTCGAGGTGGCCAAAACAGCGTATTATGCGCTGATACACTCAATGATTGACTATGGTATTATTGCCTGGGGTGGGAGTCCAGCAAGTAATTATGTGTTTGGTTTACAACGCAGAGCTGTGAGAGTGTTGGCAAAACTTAGTTATAGGGAAGATTGTCGCCTCGCCTTTGAATCCTTGAATATTCTAACGCTTCCATCATTGTTTATTCTGAAATGTTTGCTGTATATTCATAGTAATGATGAACAGTATAAGACGCACGCCGACGTGCACAGTTAGTTTACCAGAAACCGTATGAACATGTGCGTAGATTTTTGTCGGTTGAGTGGAACGCAGAAAGGTCATTTGTACACTGGTCAGATTTTGTATAATAAGTTACCGCAATCTATTAGAGCACGACAACACAAGCAATTTAAAAGATATTGTCATTGTATGAATGTATTTTTATTGTATTTTCTTCTCGGCTCCTGCGCCTGTATATTGTTGTATATTCTATTTAAAATGACGTGTGTAAGCCTTGGGCATAGAGCACTAATAAAGTTATTATTATTATTATTATTAATATAGAGTAAGAAAATGTTTGGACATACTCTAGCTAGATTAGAAATGTCAAGAAAGTGTCAACACTTCCGTATAGCAAAAATGAATTTGGCGAGAGTCCAAACTTTAAAAAAATATCAGGGATTAAGCTGATGAAATTTCAAGATCACCTCATTATAGATGAGGTTGAGTCTAATTTTGAATGAAATTGTTTTAATCAGTTTAAATATTAATATGCAGACTGCATATTATAAAGGGAAACGAATTAAGTCATTTCGTACGTGTTTGATTTAAAATTTTCAAATTCACCCCTCCGAACATCGATGAGATCCAATCATTATTTTCATCTCTTGCATACAAAAATAGTTAGCAACCCCAAACATTTTAATCCCCACCCATCATTTGGCTAATTTGGCGATTAAAATCGTAATTATTTCATGATGTTGTGTTGAAATTTAAGTAGATGAGCGTATCTCATTCGAGTTAATTACCCGGAATATTTTCTTCTAACTATAGAACCGCGGTGCGTAGTGTTTCCATGCTCTGAAAATCAGTCATATTATCGTAGTGGACTTGTGCCAACAGGCGCTTGCGTATCCGGTAGCGCAGTCTGTTTCAGGAAAGCGCGGTGTTCGTGTTTCAGTCCGTGTCTAGACACTGAAAAAGTTCGTCACTGAAGAAATCGTCATAATGATGATAAATACGTTTTTGGTGGGGTTTTATAAAGTTTTCTTTAATATTTTTTAAACGTGTAAACATGAAATGTGATTGTGAAATTTTTTATTAAATTAAAAATTTTTTAAGTCAAAAGTACCTAAATAAGATAAATTAAAGTGGTGATCTAATAAAATTTAATTGTTTCTTTTATGGTCTCGTAATTCTTTCAATTAACGTCCCCCCTATTAACTTTTTTAATTTA